GTGTCTCTTCTGTCTATTTAGATTGTAAACTCTTGCAGGGCCAGGATGTCTTTTTGTTCTCTTTGTACAGCACCTACCACAATGGGGTCTTGGTCCATGGCTAGGGTTCCTAGGCACAATGGTGATACAAATAATAAATAATATTTTCCCATGTTTACTGACAGGTAAATCACTTTCCCCAACTGCCTACCTTTCATTTTTGATAAACTAAAAACATACCATATGTGAATAGCATCTGTTGTGGCCTCCATTGTGTTAAGAGCTATACAATACAATTCTGTTGAGGTATCTCTAGATGATGGAGACGTGATAGTCTTCACATAGTTGAAGGTGTGGCTAGTTGCCCATTATAAGCCTGATTTTGACCCACACATTTACCTTTAATATTCATCTGAATGTTTAGTGCAGGTTAGAATTTTTATAGAAAATTTGTGAAAAAACTGGGCACAGTAAATTTGAGATTTTACCATTCAAAAACAAAAGTTGTTTACATCTTCATACATATTCTTACATTTTTGACTTATCATACTTCCAAAATGTTTGGACTTCAAAACTCTGAACTTGTTTTATTTTGTTCTTCTGCTCCCAGACAACATTAGTGACTTTTGTTGGATTGGAGGGTATTATGTAGAGGACTTTATTTAGTTATTAAAAAGCAGTTTTTATTCCCAAATGCCATACTTAAAGGATGTATCCATCGTGCCAGCTGTTTAGCTTTAACAGAAATAAAAAGATCAATAACTTGACACACATCTTATTTTAGTAACAGTTTTATTCCTCGATTTTCAGTGAAAATGAATTATAGATTTTTTTAAATAAAAGCTTACATAGTTTGAACAAAATAAACCATGCAGATAAATGGGAGGAAAGCATTTTTTCTTTCATATGAAAGAAGAGTAGAATCAGATAGATACAGTCCTATTGTCTGTAATTTGATGGAAACTCAGTACAAAAATCTTATATAGATTCTGTTACATTCTTTCCAGATTATGTGCCATGAAATTACTGCCTTATAAACGGAATTGGGGAAATTGCAACAGAAAAGGCAATTGAGTAAACATAATTTAATTCTATCTCAAAATGCAGACAAATTAGTAGAAAATAGTAACTGTTTCCAAAAATAATACTGCAATGACAAGTATTGTCCCCCTCCCTCCACACACCCAAGGAATGATCTAAGGAATAGTAAATGTGAAAATGCAAAGGTTTATAAGAATATTGCTCCTGTCACGTAAGCACGGTAAAGAGATGGACATCAGTTTCTGACTTTTACAGTGACTTATTAAGCAGTGCATTAAGAAATGAAGCCTGGATTCATTCATTTCAGTACAAACTGAACAACTTTAATGGTGCATGGTCTCCATTCTTACATTACAAAACAGAGTATTTTCAAGCCCTGAGGAACAGAAGGAGAGAGAAGTAGAAAACTTCACTTTAAATTGTCAATTTATCTCAACCTCCATGAACTATGGACTTTTAGTATGCTATTGTGTTGGTGGCATAGGGTGTAAATTTCTTTTGTATGAAGATAGATATCAATTCTTAAATGTACATAGATATTCTGACATTGAACATTAGATTTTTGAGGATTTTTTAATTTTTGTTTTTTTAGCTCTAACCATTAAAGATATGTAAAAGTAAAAAGGAGTGGGGGAAAATAGAAGTCCACAGTCAATGTGTATGATTATGATAACTAATAATGTTTTATTAAGAGCATGTTTTGCATGTGATGTATTGATAAGACTACAGGATAAAGCTACATAAATTTTATATAGCCCTTAAAAACTTCACAACTTTGCAATTAATTAACATTGCTGTAACATTTTAAAAAATGCTATGTATTAAATACAGGAAGTATCCAGGTAACACTGCAGATATGGATGCAAAAATGAGTTAATTCTCCCAAGCAACCGAAAGGCTTTTTAAGAATGAGAAATGACATTAGGAATCCTGTGAACTTTACAAAAAACACATTGCCTGATGTAAATAGCCATAATATAGGGAAGGGACAGTAAAAGTGGCACATGGGGGAAAAAATAGTGACTGTCAAGGGCAGGGGTTCTCAATCTATTTACCATTGTGGGCCACATCCAATACTACCTGTTTGGCCCTGAGGATATTACATGGGCCGCATCTCTGTGCTGATTGGGCTGCAAGCAGCCCACAGGCCACAGGTTGAGAACCACTAGTCAAGGGTACGGGAAATGGAGCCACCTGGGGTGAAAGTTTGAGTGGGATGAAATAAGCTGTGCAAGGATGAGTATGGTCTGTGGGGTAGCAAGTCCATTCCTACTCAGCTAGCAGCCTCCATACAGACTCCTATTTTGGAGGAATTTGTAATCATTCGAAAAGAGCTAAAGAAATTCTCAAAGCACTTTAAAATCAAGTTAAGATTGCAGATATGCTTCACTAACTTAACAGAGGTTAGTTGCATCTGACGAAGTGGGCACTCACCCACAAAAGCTTATGCTCCAATACATCTGTTAATCTTAAAGGTGCCACAGGACTCTCTGTTGCTTTTTACAAATCCAAACTAACACGGCTACCCCTCTGATACTTAACAGAGGTAGGAAGCTTTACAACAACACTGTAGATTTTAAAAAGTGCTTTTTAGAAAGTTAAAATATTAAAAACAAATAACAGCTGGGCAGTATAAAAGTGGACGCTGAGGGGTCTTCAGATAGCCTTAACTCTGGCCCAGGTTATTACCCTGAAATCAGAAGTCAACCTTATCCATAAACTTCATCATTCCTCAACACTACCAGTCCCAGTGTAACAATATACACTGTCAGTGACATTATATAAGTTCTACAGTTTTGTCTATCAGAATTTACCATTAGTGAAACCATTGAATTATATGATTATGTATGGTGGATATCTGCAACTCAATACAAATAGGATAAACTAGATAGCACTTTTCAAAGCTAAATAACTTAATGGTTTAAAAAGCTGTTTTCCATGCTAACTGCTTAATGTGTTTCTGACCTTTTGATCCACATTTAGTCACAACAGATAGCCAATCATCTAAAAGAAACAGGAAACACTACTTTTTAGATAGTTTTTTTTTTAAATTAAGCATTATTTCTTGTGAAGAAAAATGTATTTCATCTGATTAGTTTCACGCCATGTTTCAGCCCCATGTGAACAAAAGCAGCTGTGTTGGAAACCTATGGAAAAATATGGTTTAGGCTGGAAATGGCAACTTGCCCTTAACAATAGCAGTGTTATGAATGTGTCACTAAAAGAAAAGGTCCAAAACTTTTCAGGTGCACCTCAATTGCTGCCAGTTTAGTAGAAGCAATCTGCCTTTCAGTTCTTGTAGGACAAGATTTGCTAGAGTGCTTTCCCTACTGCTAAAGCTTTCCCTTTGTGTATAATATGGATGATTTAGAAGAAGCTGTGTCAGCACTGATTTATACATTGACAGCTAAGGATAATAAGATATGGGCAAACATACAGCTCACCCTTTTACAGATTAACCTGCAGACTGCATTAGGCAAATTTGATGGCATTAAAAGAATTTGCCAATTTGTCTGGAAACAATTTCTCTTGTGTTGTGTCAAGGGTAACATTTCATGCCATTGTACTAATTTAAATGGCTTTGATAAATTGTTCCAGAGGTTAGACAATAGTACTGTAGATATATTTTGCCTCTTTAAAATAAAAAGGCTATTAACATAATTGTTAAATGAAATTAATTAGTTAAAATCAAAAGAGGTCTTAGGAACATAGGTTTAAAGAAAAACACACTGCAGTACGAATATTGTGCCAAAATGATTAAACAACGTGTTCAGGAAATTATATTTTGGTTTTAGTTTCTAGTAAACAGAAACACTGTTCCAGTACAGCTACAATAGTATAGTGTTTTTGTTTACTAGAAACTAAAACAAAAAATACATATGAAACTTCAGAGGCCATGTAAAAGTTGCTATATTACAATGAACAAAGATGTAATGATTTCTTATCCAAGTAAAGGGTTACCACAGGTTCAGAAAAATCTCGGAAAGTGCTTTAGTAAAAGCCTTATTAGCTCTGATAGGTAGTATGTAATGAGAAACACAAGGGGCAAAGTTCATTTGTATAATGCTCATATTCTTAGTGTTGTTCAGCTGCGTAGAAACGTGGATTTCGTATCTGAGTGGTTGTTAATTTCAGCAAAGTGTATCTTTCTTTTTTTAGAGGAGTCATGTAGTATGTATTGTATTAATGTTTTGAGTTGAAAAAAGGAATAACATCCTTCAGAGAAATGATTGTAAATTTTTCATAACTTAATACTTAAAGATTAATAATGTATGGGATGGCATTGCTGAGTTTTATTTCCAGAATTCAAGGGCTCCTTTATTACATCCTATCTGCATATAATTACAAAGAATACAAACTATGCAAAAATCATACACTGAAGGTTATTGCAGAACAAATGCTAGATATATTTGGAGCAGAATTAAAGAGTGTAACTAAGCAAATGTGCATGCCGTAGGACAATGTTGTTTCTTCATTTAGAACAATTGTAGAAGGAAACTGCCTTTAAAAAACCCTAAAAGTGGTCTCTCTTGCTCCTTCTTGCCAAGGATAGTGAAATTAACATGCAGCTGGTCTTCTCTGATAAATGGATTCTGTTAGGTCACTGAGGGGATGCATGTGACATTAAGTGATTTACAGTCCTTTACCTTAATGAAATTGTTTCAGTGAGATGACGCTGAGAGCTTTTAATGGATAGCTTTTCTTGATGTAATGAAATTGCATTCCTTTGGCATTTAATATAAGGTGCAGTTATTATTTACTGGAGCTTTCCCAGAGCTGCTGTTTTGCGCAGACAGTTCAGAACAAAAAGACATTTCAGTGGCAGCATCAAGGCCAGAATGGCGTGTGACATTCTTAAGCAGATGAGTGTATTTGTGAGAGCGTTTCAGTTACTGTGGCCTAGCTACACAGACTCTTTAGGAGGCTTTCTTACGCAGCGTTCATCTCTTTTACCTATACCCTCGTAATCTGTTTAACAGGCAACTGGATTACAACCAGATCAGCTGTATTGAAGATGGGGCATTTAGGGCTCTACGCGACCTGGAAGTGCTGTAAGTATTGCTTGTATCTTACTTTTAACGGGAGCTCAGTATCTAGGGAGTACTAATGTAAAAGCTTATCTGCTAGCTGCAGCCTGGTGACAAAATGGTCTAGTGAAAAGATGTCTTAAAATAATCCACTGTGATGTGTTGTAAAATGGTAAATATATATATAAAGACATATTATTTTGCTCACCCAGAAAAGTATTTCACAAAATAATCAGATGACATGTATTGTAAGAAAGAGACACTTCCTGAAAAAAATAAGTACTAATGCATCCCTTTATTTTTGTAAAATATTTTTCATTGTTGAAGTGCTACACGCTTTAATATTGCTTTTGTTATGTAATCTGATGTAGCTAACCTCTATCTGCCTCTTTATATCAAAATGATAAATATCTTGAATACATTTGTAATGCTAACTGTTTTCACCCAGCTACTTTTTCAGTAAACAGAACTGTGATATCTGATATGTAGCCTGTCCATCCATTATTAAATGCTTTACAACTGATTTTTTTATACACAACCTATTTATGGCATTGATTGAAGGATTGGGTTGCACGTTGTCTTGCTTACTTTTTTCCCACGTTGAAATTGCTGTCAAATGACGATAAAGGTAACAAAATAATCTACAATGACCCTTGACCTGAAAATAGTAACTATGATGAGTAAAAAGTCTAATTCCCAAAGAATTTGAGGCGCAGGGTACATTCTTTAAATATTTCTTCTGTCATTGAAAGTGTCACATTCCTTGGTTACTTTTATACATTTAAAGAAAGCAGGATACTTTGTTCTCTATCAATAATAGTGCTTCTCTGGATGTCGTTTTAAATCACCCTTGCTTCAGACGACTTGGAAACCCAAAGCTAAATTAAATTGGTGGGAGGAGAGAGCGTTAAGTCTTAACTTAATTTTTGTTAGTAATTATGTAAAATCAAGAAGCTTTTCTGAGAACACACATTATCTTTTTATGGCTAGACTCCAAAGGATAAAATGTGAGCAACTTAGGGAAAAGGTGGCAGTTATTCAGCAGCTATTGAGCTAATCTATGATTACTATGAGTGGATAGTTGTGACTATTTGTTTTTAATTTTTAATATTTTAATCACATTTCTTGGTTTTAAGTCATTAGAGTCAAGTAACCAGATAACCCAAATGTTGCTTTGTCTTTTTAAAAATGTATTAAAATACACTGCTTATTTGATATTAACATATGTGAATTGTAAAGTATATAAATGGGTGGTTTGTCAGAATACCATTTATACAAGTGTGTGATTTTTATCCGCACTTTCCAAGGAACTCACCTGTATCACAGGGTAACTTATATTTTCATAGTGCTGGTTAGGGCGGTTATCATCTTACCTTATTTTAAATATATATCCTCCTTTAAGACTGCATTTTATATATGTCCAAAAGAAATGAATTTTGAATGTGTATTTTAATTAAATCAAATATTATTTGTGCTGCTTTACTGCCATTATTTTTACTGATCAAAACTGGTAAAAATTCCCATAGATTTCAATGGGCACAGAATCAAATCCGTACAAATTAGTAGTATTGCACCACAAAGCCAGGTAATCTTGCAGTATTTTGTGCCTGAATATAAATATGTTATTACCATTAGTTAAATATGTAAATAAATTGGACTCTTGAATTAAACCATTTGATTCAATAAACAATATTATAGAAGAACTTAAATTACAAACAAGGTTGAGACAAATATGTTGAATGGAACTGTAAATTGCACCTTCACAGCAGGAATATTGTCTAATAAATAAATAAAAGTAAAAAAAAATGAAGAAGATATTCAGGTCAGTCAATAGCCTAATGTACATTGAATAATTAGGAAAGCTAAATATATTGGTTTTGCATTTGATTGGATTTATTCTGTCTATGTGAATATTGTGCATGGAATGCGTATCTTCTATCAAAATACAAGTGTATAATAGAGCTTTTAGTATGTCCTGTACCCTGATTGAATCGTGTTTTAAAATTTTTGCTGAAGTGACACGTCTTGTACAGTTCTGAACAAAAAAAAAAACTTTCCATCATTGGAAACTTTGGTAACATTGCGGAGGTTCAGAGGTGGTTATAATTAAAGGGATGCAGTCAACATGAAATCTAGACAATTCAAAAGAAGAGTTAAAAGTAGTTTCAGATACTACTACTGGCAGTGAATCCTCAAGAAAATTTCTGTGGCTTTAAGTCAAATTTCCTATTTTTTAAAATGTTTTTCTCTCCGCTGCAGCTGAGTGACTGAAGCAAATGGGGGAAACTGATTATGCAGGGGTGATCCTGGCAATTCACACAATGCTGTTAAGTTCAAAAAGTAAACAAACTGCAAAAATAGAAACATTATCTTTTCTTTAATCTCTTTCAGCCATCAGAATTTTGGGGGTTATGTGTAACAGTAGTTGAAAATATTTCACATAGAAGCATGATTTTTTTTTAAGTTGGCAGTGTCCCTTTAATGAAAGCCACAGATTTGGGTTATTAGATGGAATTGTTTATGGTCTAATCCGTTAAGTTACTACTAGCTACTGTTTTGCTGTACTGCAGCAATTAAATCCACAGAATTAAATTGGTGCAACATAAGAGGAATACAAGAACAGTCAAAGAAAGAAAGAATTAGTTAAATAACCAAACACCAGAAATACGATATTGATCATTAAAAATGTTTATAAAATCTGTTCTATTTAAGTAGTATAAGAACTGCATAAATCCTCACTGGTTTGCATTTCCTTTTTTAAAAAGGTGCACCTTTGAAGTCACCCATTAATAAGTCATGCAGGGAGAGTCATAGGAAATGTATATTTTTCATTTGGACATTGTGACAGAGAGTCATATAAAGACAGTGATCATATTACCATTTTAGACCCTTTTCTGGCAGTCTCACCTTTGCACTAGCCCTATGCAAAATGTCACTTCTTTCAAGTAGGGCACATGTCCTTGTCATCTTTTTTTCCTTTCTTCCTGATTCTACTCCTCTTTGGTTTCTGTACCCCTCAGGGCACACAGAGGAGTTACCTTGTGTGTGGGTGAAGAGAACATTTAGGAACAGAAATCAGTAAGCACACTGAGGTAAATTTGCAACACATTGCACCAGAAATTAACTCACATAGCTACCATTAAAGCTAATTGGAGGTGCTCAACCTGATTCCATTTATGGTGCTGGCAATTTACCCTTGTGTGTTTCAGAAGTACTTTGAACTTTTAATGCAAAAGTCTTGAGAAACCAGCACAAATTATGCAAATTATGCTTTGTGTTTTTAAAAAATACAACTGAAACACTTGCTTTTTCAAAAAGGAGCGCAAAGATTCAGCCAATGGAATTCTCAGTTCATTAGAGTTGATTAGCTAAAGTGCAAAATAACCTTTTCAAATAAACAAGTTGTAAGACAAAAATATGGGGGAATATTAACTCTTTAAATCTTTGTTCTAGAGTCAAGCTTGTCTTCTTTTTATATCAAACTAAAGATAATAGTTAAATGCAAGATATTTCATAAAGTTTTCATACATTATTACTCATTCTCTTTGCAATTAATGTATGCTAAGACAACTCTTTGCTAACCAAGTATTTATTTACTTAGATTTATTCACTGTGCCTGTGCCAAGTCGTAAGCACATTGCACAACATACATAGAACTATTCTGGTAAAATATTAAGGCTCCCAAGAGGTCCATACCTTATACAGAACAAGTCACCTAAAATCATCCTGCAACTCTCCATGGCAACTACCAACCTCATCTCCCACATAGTGTCAGTAAGCCTCCGTGTCATCCTTCCCAGGACCACCTGGGGCAAGTGGATCTTGCAGCATGTCTTCAAAGTGATCAAATCTGGGCCCTGAGGAACCAGAGAGTGAAGTGAATTCCAGAACCAGGGGATCCCTCTCTGAGAATGTCCTGCCACCAGCTGTCCCCTGCTTTATACTAGGATGGCATTCCCACCTTTAATACTTCAGATGATCTCAACATTTGCAGTGACTGACAGGGAGACAGCCTTTCAGGTAGCCGGGGTTTGAATTACTTGGGACATAAAGGTCAAATACCAACACTTCATCTGGAATCCATTGGCAGCCAAGGCGGCTCACACAGCACAGGTGTAAACGCTCTTTTTCTGAAATCCCGCTTTTAAAAAGCAGGCCCCTGCATTCTGCACTAGCTGTATTTTCTCCAAAATCATAGCAAATTTGTATCTCAAATAATACCATCTAATTTTCTTCAGAAATGTTTGGACAATATCTGGAATCCTGATAACTTCAGCATGCTAAGTTGAATCTTTTTGTATTTTACAGCACTCTCAACAATAACAACATCACTCGACTTTCAGTGGCAAGTTTCAACCACATGCCCAAACTCAGAACCTTGTAAGTAGTCCCAATGACAATAGCTGTCTGTTCTGTTAATCTAGTGTGTTCACCACTTCACTATTTCTACACAAGTTTTGCTAGTGGTTCTGAAAAGGCATCTAGATGGATTTGGGGGCAAGAAAGGGGAAAAGTGCAACTCAAAGATCTCTAGGTTGAGATCCACTCCAGCAGCATAAGGGCACTATGTGAATCAATTGCAGAGAAATCTTTGAGGTAAAATTAACAAACCCCCCAACCCAAGGGAAGTAAGTGAGACCCATGAACTAGAGACCCTTGTATCAGTTTTGCAGGGTATTGGGGCCACTGGATCCACAGAAATGCAGCTGCCATGGTCATTTCTCTATCCTGCCACAAATTGCAGGAGTGCCCTCCACACCATACAGGAGTTTCACCATCTAGAGAAGAAGGTAGACTCTACTCTGCACATTATAACTTAGGGTGACCAGACAGCAAATGTGAAAAATCGGGACGGGGGTGGGGTAATAGGAGCCTATATAAGAAAAAGAACCAAAAATTGGGACTGTCCCTATAAAATCGGGATATTTGGTCAACCTATTATAACTATATCTAAAAATAGGTGCATTTGAGAATGAAAAAAAAATGTTTTACTTTGAGCTATTCAATAGGTCACATTTCATTTAAGAATAAGGAAGGATCTTTGATTGGCTGTCAGATGTGATAAATGGGAAATCTTTATGCTTTTATGACTGCACTGCTAGCAGACCTAATTAAACTAAACTGGCTCTCCAACATTCTTTGTAACAAAAAATTATAGCATCAACTGGCAGTGCTGTTATAATTAAGGTTGTGTCAGCATTTACATTAAGGTCCCAATTTTTAGCAGTTATGACTGAAACATAAGCATATGCTTCAGGCTACTAAAATGAAACAAAGAAACTATTCATTCAAGTTCTAGCCTTTTTTTAAGTTTATGCAAAAAACTAAGGATGGCTTTTTTTAAAACATACAATTATTATATAATTAACATATAATAATATAATATTTTAGGGCCGATCCAGGCAGAACTCCCACTGAAGTGAAAGATGGGTGAAATTGAAAGTAAATGGGATGCTTGCTTGAAAACAAAAAAGGTCAATATAGGCCCATGGATGGTACTTATATAACCCAAAATGGCCTTGATTTCATTTATTTTTATTTATTTTATTTTTTTATGTGGAGGCCATTTTGGATTACACAAGTATTGTGAAATCAATGGGCATAGTCAGCTGTGTAAAGTTAAGTATTTTTTTCAAGATCAGGTCCTAGGTTCATCCAGTGGTTCTTAAACTGTGTAGTCCATGGACTGCCAGTGGTCGGTGTTGTATTTATAATGTATTCTGACTGTGCACCTAGGGTTGCCAGGCATCCAGTTTTCAACCGGGTTCAGGGTGCAGGCGCTTACCTCAGGCGGTTCCCGGTCGGCGGCACAGCAGGGGCTAAGGCAGGCTCCCTGCCTGCCCTGGCTCCACACGGTTCCCAGAAGTGGCCAGCATGTCCCTGCAGCCCCTAGGTGAAGGGGCAATCAGGGAAGCTCCGTGTGCTGTTCCTGCCCCCCCCCCCAGCACCGGCTCCTGCAGCTTTTATTGGTCAGGAACTACAGCCAATGGGCGCTGTGGCGGCGGCGCCTTTGGGCGCGGACAGCATGCAGAGTGGCCTGGCCCATCCGCCTAGGAGGAGCAGGACATGCTGGCCGCTTCCAGGAGCCACGCAGAGCTAGGGCAGGCATGGAGCCAGCTTTAGCCCCGCAGTGCTGCTGACTGGGAGCCACCTGAGGTAAGCACCTGAACTCCCTCCCTCCCGCACCCCAACCCTCTGCCCTAGGTTTGATCCCCTTCCCGTACTCTTAACTCCCTCCGAGTCTGTACCCCAACCCCCTGCCCCAGCCCTGAGCCCTCTCCTTCACCCCAAACCCCACATCCCTGGCCTCACTCCAGAGCCCACATTTCCAGCTGGAGCCCCTTCCCGCACCCCAACCTCCTGTCCCAGAACTGAGCTCTCTCCCGCACCCAAACTCCCTCCTGGAGCCCACACTCTGCACCCCAGCCCCCTGCCCCAGCCCTGAGCCCCCTCCTACACCTCAAACCACTCATCCCTGGTCCCACCCTGGAGCCCGCATCCCCTCCTGCACTGCAACTCCCGGTCCCAGCCCTGAGCACCTTCCTTCACTCCGAACCTCTTGGCCCCAGTTTGGAGTCCCTTCCTGCACCCCTAATCCCCAGCCCCATCCTAGAACCTGCATCCCCAGCCAGAGCCCTCCCCCCCCACAAACCCCAACCCCTTGCCCAGCCCACACCCCCAGCCAAAGCCCTCACCCCCTCCCGCACACCAAGCCCCTCCCAACCCAGTGAAAGTGAATGAGGGTGGGGGAGAGCGAGCGACGGGGGGCGGGGGGATGGAGTGAGTGGGAGCAGGGACTCAGAGAAAGGGTGGAGCCTCAGGGAACGCAGGGCAGGGGTGTTCGGTTTTGTGCGATTAGCAGTGTCTATACCTCACTATATATATTTACTTAAACTTTATTTCAACAGTACAAGTGGCATTTAGGCAATAGACTATAAGAGTGATTTTAGTCTTTTGCAAACTTGCATAAAGATTTTTGTGGGATGGTTGTTCAGCTTAAAATTTATTATATAAACAAAAGAAAGTCAACACAGAATGCCCTCCATCATAACTGTGACATTTAGCTGTAACAATAAATAGCCAGAGGACAATTCAAAAGAGAGATTTGTCCCTCTAATCCCACTTACACTGATATTACACGTGTAACTGCATTGCCTTCAATGGAGTTACTGTTGGGTTTGCACTGATGTAAGCAAGTGCAGAATCAGACACTATGTCCTTACCCAGTGCTGGCCATGTATTGCATGCATCATATTGTATGCTGTATCTCTCTGCTACAATACCCACACATCATAAAAATAGTTAAGGAAAATACATCAATTTTAACTTTAATTTTTAGTCCTCTGTGAATGGAAATAAGAATCAATTAAATCATCTTGCTTTTGTTGGTTGTTTCCACAGCTTTGATGTTACTTAAATGGGTTTTAGTGGGTTAATTAGCTTTCTCAGCTGAGTTCTGTTTTTTTTAATATCCATTACAATTATTTGCTTAGAATTGAGCACATTAGCTAAAAAGGACTAAAATGATATTACTCTGTTATGGATGATTCTGGGAGTAAGGTTTTGATTTATAGCTTTGAATGTCCTTTTCTTTAGTTTGAAAAAACAAAAAACCCAGGCTGAAGTAATTTACCTAATTTAGTGAATACATTTGTCTGATATTTTATCAATGGCAAAGTGCTTTTTGGCACTTGGCAAAGGAGCCATGATCTTGTGTAGGTCTCTGCCAACAGAGAGGCAACTTACTTAATTCCTTCACTCACTGCCATTTGGTCTTTTAATTTCAGGCATTGCTTTGAATATGAGTCCCTAGGAGCCAAAAGCAGCTAATCCCCTTTTCTGTGATTAAACAAAAGGAGAGAAAATCAGGAAGGGATGTGAAAGAAGGTGTTTTATATTGCATTATTATTCTGTCTTGTTCAGCAGCAAAATGAATATGACCTGCTAAAAGGATTTTGCAAGTAGTTTCTATAGAGACTAATAACAGCCAGACTTACTGATATCTCTAATTGGAAGCCAAATCTTTTATTAGCTTTTTTTGTTGTCAGTATATTACTGTGATAAACCAGTCTACTTTAGACTTTTTTGATTTATTGGCCTTTTGTACAGAGCTAAGCTAAAGAATTCAAGAGCTGTTTTCAAACTCTGGTGTATTTGCTTTTCTCTTTTAGGAGAGAGGGAAGAAACTGTAGATACTCAATTTTGTGATAGCAAACCTAGTTTTTTATTAAACTAATTAGAATAACCTAAAAAGGCTTTTTGCTATTTAAATGTTAATAAATAACGCTACGTGACTCTCCAGCTTCAAATGAAAAATTTAAAAGATCGATTCCTCATTAAGGACTTCTTATTAGTAAATCTTCCAGATCTGTAAAACTCTGTCACTCAGGTTTTTTGCTAATTTAAACATATTGACTTGCTTCCTCTCATTCAGTCGACTTCACTCGAATAATCTCTACTGTGATTGCCACCTGGCTTGGCTATCCGATTGGCTGCGGCAGCGACCCCGAGTTGGCCTGTACACACAGTGTATGGGCCCATCCCACCTGAGGGGACACAATGTAGCAGAGGTTCAAAAACGAGAATTTGTCTGCAGTGGTAAGGGAAACAAATTCTGCAACAGAGCTCTGATTTAATGCATGTTTAACACCAGTTTAACAGAGATTGTAATGATATGCACTGTACGCTGTTTCTAGCTCTACGGAGTCTAAAAATGTTGTTTGAAAACCTGTTCAGTTATTTTGGAGATATACATGGCTCTAATGTGGGTAATTGTGTTCCTATGTACTTTATGTAAATGATTCATACACACACACACACACACAAAATACATAGCAACACTATATACGTACCTTTCTAAAAACAAATATTTGGAGATGGGTGACTATGAAATTGAAATCTAAATGTACATTTTGAGACAGACAGGAAGCTTTCTAAATGGAATGACTCTCTGTTCTTTTTAATTTACAGGCTCTTTGTTCCCTACTTCAGTATTTTCAACCGTTTTCATAAATTCCCCACTCCCCAAAGAACCCCTTTTGGAATACCATTTGTATGCTTTAGCAACTCTGGTTGTTTTCTGAAGTGAAATAATGAAATGACTAACAGTTCAGTACTAACCACTTTTTCTTTATTCATTTTTTCCCCATCCATTCATAGATGAGGAAGAAGGCAAGTTCATGTTTCTTTTTTTAATAGTTTTAGACTTGGATTGAAAAATATCTGTAAACTTTGGTTAATGTTTCTGGTTCCCAAAATTCTTATGAACAATAGCATATGTGCAACTGTATCTGCTGTATTTAAACACTGATCTGCGAGTTTTACCATGCAGGCAGACCTTTGTGTCCAGCAGAGCCCCGTTGATGTCGATAGAGCACCACACAAGCACCAGGATCCATCCATATAAATCTTGTAGGACTAAGGCTTAATGAGTGCATTCCCAACTTGAGTATAATGCCTCCTTGCTCCACAGATTCTGCCTTTGGGTGCATGTGCAGGGATCTCAGTGAAACCCTGTTCGTACACCTGAGAATTTGTCTTTAAGTGAATATCTCTGAACATTCCCATTGTAAATCCCTATTTTGGGGGATTTATAACTTTGCACCTTGATATACACGTCTTAGCCCTGGATCAATTTATTTTTATTCAATAACATCAATTTGAATATTTGTTTACATTAGGAGTGTAACAACAGTAGCATAGGTATATTGGTTTTAGTTGCCTGTTTGCTCTCTTGTAACTCCAGAATAATGCTGAAATTTAGATATTGTAAACTGCTAGCTCAAAAGACAAGTCTTTTTTGTTAGTGTAATTTTAACAAAATGGATCTGTTAAAGTTTGAAATACTGAACATGCAGAGCAATTAGTTTCTAATTGCCAGTAGAACAAGTTTCTAGGTGAAAGTATGACATTAGAGAATTGAGAAGGACATGTTAGTCTTACAGTCATGATTCCAAAGTGGGCCATCAAACTATTTTCTGTGGGTTACAAAATTTTCTCCAACTTTCAAAAACAAAACAAACAACAAAAACCTCCCCAGTTTCTCACCCTCCTGAATTTAAATAGCTACAGTAATTAAATTTACTGACTATACTGGGGGACGTGCAATTTATGCATTTTCAATAATATGTATAAATTATACTTCATGATCTACTTTCTGAATATTGCATTTAAATGTAGTGAATATAAATGCCAACCTTGATAACATAGGGCACAATGAACTTTGAAACTATTTAGTTATGAATTACAGCAATATGAGTCAAGATGAGGGGTGATCAGGATTTTGTGGGGTATCTTTGCATTTTTGGCTGAAATAACACACAGGGTCAAATCTTGAGTCCATGGAAGCCAATGGCAAAACTCCCACTGAACTGTATTGGGCCAGGGGGTTCACTTGAAATGCTTTTTGATTCTGGGTATGTAGTCACAGGAGAATAAAGAGTCTGCATCAGGTATATAATATATACATTGAAAGGTAATTTTTAAATAAGTAGTTATGCAATAGAATTTACCTGTTCAGGAGGTGTTTTGGTTTTTATGGGACAGTTCATTCATTTCCATTAACAATTTTTATTTAATACTATCATAAAAACAAAAGAAATAGATCAGTGATACTTAGAAATATTTAAACCCACAAAAGAAAAAAAATGGTTGAAAATCTTGATTGATACTGTATCTTCAGTGCATTTCATTTTGCCCAGATATTTTTGCGCAACAAGCTGTTTTTGGAACATATGAATGTTAACCAAGCTAAGAAATTATGAAAGCAAGAGTTAAAGCTGTAAATCTGAATTTTCTCTTCCATGCTCTACAAGTTAGTTCAACATGCAGGTATTATTCAGTTAATCTAATTAATGTGCAGGTGTTATTCAGATTAATTAATGTAACTCAAAGTAACTGATTTTGTAGCCATGTTTATTCTAAGAGCTCTGTGTGTTATTTTGTAGGGAAGGGAGAAATAGGATTGTTCACTGTTGGAATGATCTAGACTTCTTCTATTTGACTATTCTGCAGTTTTAGAAGAAGCAATTTGTTTTCTGTTCCAGGTCATCAGTCTTTTATGGCTCCCTCCTGCAGCGTCTTGCATTGTCCTACTGCATGTACCTGTAGTAACAACATTGTTGACTGTCGTGGGAAAGGCCTTACTGAGATCCCAACCAATCTTCCAGAAACTATTACTGAAATGTAGGTTATCTTGCTTTTTTGCCATTAACTTGTAGAACTGTAGTGTTCCCTCTATCTACTTATATTTATTTGCTCTGGTAAGTAATATACTGTATAGGAAGAGTGTTTTGGAATATACCAGAAATAAAAATATTTGGTGTGTAGGAAACCATTTGTTATAGTCTTGTATTTTCAGTTATAGGTTCATTACAGGGACACTAGTCACAGAACTGTTTTTAAGATTGCAAACAGAATGGTCTTAAAATAGATGATGTTATTTCTACACCTAAGTAGCCTTTCAACACAGATAACACACCACAACCTTACCTTTGCCCCCTTGGGTGCCTTCCTTCAGTCATCCCTTTTAACAAACCACCTATTCCCAGTGCAATAAATCACTACACCAAATATCCACAACTAGTTGGGCTGGGAGTAAGTAGCTGGTAAAGGAGTATCCTCAAAAGGGCGAATTTAGAGGGCAGATTTAAAGTTGAGGAATGTGGTCTGTGTTGTAGTTGTAGAAGCGATAAAAGATGTGTCTGCGCGGGAGGAGTAGATAATATGTACTGTTAAGGTGGCTTATCTTTTCATATGTTATAAAGGATGAGTATTTTTGGAATATACAACTACTTTTAATATCAGCATTTGGTTTGTATGACTACATGCTGTATAAATTACAAAACTTAATTCCGTTGGCTGACACAGAGCCAAGTGACTTAAAATAGTTTTGTTGTATTGCTCTACTGGCAAGTCAGTTGTTTTTGCCAAAAACTAACAACAGGTTATCCAATAACTAAAACAGAGCCACTAGTCTCTATGATTTAAAATAGAAAAGCCACAGCAGAGGGTTACTCTCCTGGTGCAGTACTTTTCCAGTAAGACCCTGTATAGGAAGTGAGATATTAAAATGTATTCTACACTGCATAGAAGAATGTACTTCTGATGTTTTCCACACATATCAGTAGAAGGAATATTATTTTTTAATTCTCCTTCAAGTTCATGTGCATGTGCACATGTGCATTCCACTCTTGGTATCTGTGTGCCCAGTGTGTGGCCATCAGTATAAGTGGAATGGAGATGTGCAACACAACTTGAAGAACAGCAGTTACTGAACAGGTTAGTATCTTTTTTTTATAAAAAGAGGAAAACTCTCATGAAAAGAATATGAATTATTATAAACATATGCTTGTTAATAATACAAGTTATTTTCTTTCAGAAGTATTAAAAAGAGAAGTTGAAAGATATACAAGATAAAGGAACCATCTTCAAATTTTCTGGGGTGTTCACAAATAAAAATAGTTGTGAACACTCTCAGAAACAGGACACCCACAGATTTGCTTAACTATGTTCTGAGTAAAAAATAACTTTTAAAAAAAGTGTTTAAAGCAGATAGGTGGAGCAGAAACTATTGAGGCAATTTACATTGACCTTTATCCAACATGCAATGCCACTGCAGTAAAAGTAACGGAATTTGCAACATTCCATGCAAGAAAAATATTTTTCAGTATATTAAAAATTATTTATACGGAAATATTTAGTTTCTAGAAAAATCATTGTATTGTGGGATTGAGTAGGACCTCACAGGAAGGAACAATCAGTTGCACACATACAAAATGGGAAATGACTGCCTAGGCAGGAGTACTGCGGAAAGGGATCTAGGGGTCATAGTGGACCACAAGCTAAATATGAGTCAACAGTATAACGCTGTTGCAAAAAAAGTGAACATCATTCTGAGATGTATGAGCAGGAGTGTTGTAAGCAAGACCTGAGAAATAATTCTTCCGCTCTACTCTGCGCTGATTAGGCCTCAACTGGAGTATTGTGTCCAGTTCTGGGCACCACATTTCAGGAAGGATGTAGAGAAATTGGAGAGAGTCCAGAGAAGAGCAACAAAAATGATTAAAGGTCTAGAAAACATGACTTATGAAGGAAGATTGAAAAAATTAGGTTTATTTAGTCTGGAAAAGAGAAGACAGAGGGGACATAACAGTTTTCAAGTACGTAAAGTGTTGTTTCATGGAGGAGGAAGAAAAACTGTTTTTCTTAACCTTTTGAGGATAGGTCAAGAAGCAATGGGCTTAAATTGCAACAAGGGCCGTTTAGGTTGGACATTAGGAAAAACTTCCTAACTGTCAGGGTAGTTAAGCACTGGAATAAATTGCCTAGGGAGGTTGTGGGATCTCCATCATTGGAGATTTTTAAGAGCAGGTTAGACAAACACCTGTCAGGGATGGTCTAGATAATACTTAGTCCTGCCATGAGTGCCGGGGTCTGGACTAAATGACCTCTCGAGGTCCTTTCCAGTTCTGTGATTCTGTGAGCAATGTCACTCTTCTAATAGCACTGGGTATTGTATCCCACTGTCAACATTCTCCATTTTGAACGTCATCTCTGGACAGCCTATGTTTATACCCAGGAAAACTCATTATCTTCAGTAGGTCTTCAAAGGTGTGATTAAAGGAAGAATTTTCTCTAGTCTATATTATATATGTAAGTATATATCATATAGCTACCATGTTGCTGCTGGTTTTAAAAGCATAGTAGCTGCATAATGGCGCAGTACAGGCAGTTGAAGAAATAACAGCATTCCTACCTCAGGGTGTGCATAATCTTGGATCTGTTCAAATGCAATACAAGAACACATAAAACATTTTAAAGCAGAAGTTTGAGCTGTTTTAACTAGAATAGAAATACATCAGTTTAATTTAATGTCATGAGAAAGGTGCTTTGGTTAGTGGTTGAATGTTACGCTAAGAATCAGGATTTTGAGAAGTGTTTTTGAAGTGGAGATAGAGCACACTTAGCACCCAGCATTTGGGAAAGGACTCCAACTGCAGAAGGCAGCACCACAGAAAGCATGACGACAAAGGGGGTAGCAAAGTGAGAGGAGTGCAGTTTGGGGAACAAGATGATATAGGGGCACAGAAGTAACTGGAGGAGGAGATGCAAAGGGCTCTGTAAGTAAACAGTTAACTCAATGGAAGAACCAGAGTGCACAGTGGAGGACTTCATGAGGACATAGTCCTAGTGACATGACAAGAATAGGATCTTTACTGCTTTGTTTTGTATAGATTGAAGAAGGGAAGAGGTGAGAGAGTGGAGGTCAGACAGGAAGAGATTGCCATAGTTTAAGTGAGATATGATCAGATTTCTGTGGGCATGTCTACACTGCATACTAAGCTCAGTGGACCCGAGCTTGTGGACTTGGAGTTTCCAAACCCGTGCTTAAACATACACACTGTATTGTAAACCTGGGTTTACAGTTCCTGGACCAGAGTCTCACAGCCATGCTAACGTGTCCACACTGCACTACGCAACCCTTCTGACTCAGGTCTGAGGTTTAACCTTCGTCCACACTGCAAAATGGTAGGGCTTGGACCCAAGTCACAGTGGGATTTGGGCTCTGACCAACCCTCCTCTCGCAAGGTTCTGAGTGCTTGTTGACCTGAGTTAGACTGATTTGTGTGTGGACAGAAGGGAGGCTTGGGCTCCAACTGGTTCCAGTTTTAAATATGTTCCTTTTTAAAATTTAATTAATTGTTTGCTTGTTCCTGTATTGTGTGAGAAGATAGATAGAAATTCACAATTTACTTTAGCGTTTATCATTTTGTTTATCGCTGTGGTACATCTCTTATTCTGCTCTTTTGTAAACTGAACATTCAAAGTCTTTTCAGTCTCTCCTGATGTGGGAGTCTTTCTAAGCCTTAGTCATTTGTATCACTAATCTCTGAACTCCCTCCATTTCTGCTATATCTTGTTTGAGATGGGGTGACTGAAACGGAGTGCTGTTTCCCAGGTGACAGTGAGCCATCAATTTATATAATGGGATTATAGTTTTCGATCATTTTCCTTATACATCTTAATACTTCATTTGGTTCTGTGAGCACCATTGCACATTTAGTAGAAATTTTCACTGAATTGTCCACAAGGATGCCTAGGTCTTTTCCTTAGTTGTTACACTTCTGGGTTCTAAATTAATTGTATACGAGTACATTATATTGTTCCATCCAAATATATATTACCTTGCATTTGTAAGCATTCAATTTAATAGCCATTGTGCTACCTATTCACCTAGCTTATTTCCCTCTCAGGATTCTTACAGTCTTTTTTCTGGTCTTGTCTAATTTTAACTTAAAAATTTTTGTTATCTCTACATTTTGCCCTTATTCATCCTTTTCCAGATCAATATGTTTGTTACCCCTGTATTTTGGTTGCCTTATCATGGAACGTATTAACGATTCTTGCTGCCTATTTTAAAGATCTAACGCCTTTATTATTTGTAGTAGGACCTTGAGATTCATCAGGGAGTAGGCCTGCAGGCTAGAGAAGTGTCATTTCTTTATCCAATTTGGTTTAACTAAATTCTAAATTATTAAAAAAATCACCTTTTACTTTCTTTCATTTGTGTTCCACAGGAATATTGTGGCAGTGTGCCAAAATAATAATTGAACATGAACATTATAAAGAGAGTCCCAGGCAGTGCACCGGGAATGCCTAGGAACTGCTGGAGCAGCTGGGAAGGGGAGGAGTCGGCATGGTGATCTTACCATTACTACACACCTCCCCAGCACATGTCCTCATCATCCCATTCACCCACCCACTGCAAGCACCAAATCTGGCAGGAGTTCCCCCAACTCTTAGGGAGGAGGGAGGGGAAGAGAAGGGGGCTGGTTCTACCCATAAGTCCCCTAGATCTAGCTTGTGCACCCAGCAGCCCGGCTCATCCTCCATTCTGTGGGCAACACAGGGCAGGAGGAGGAAGAGAGAGACCTGGGCTGGGCTCCATTCCTACCCCACGCCCCCAGCTAACCTGTGGACCCAACACACAGTTTTTTGGTATATATATAATTGATAATATATTTAACCATGATTCTAGTACGTAGTCTTGTAACATCCCAGTGTTAACCTTTTCCCACAATGAAAAGCGATCCTTTATTCAGGGGTGAAAGTGGGCTGATACGGTACTGGCCCATACGCAGCCCATGTTAAAGATCTGCTGTGGCAGCGCTTTAACGTCGCTGCCCCTTTTGCCTCCCTCCTCCCCAGGCCACCAACA